AATTTAGATTTTTATGAGACTTTAAAGTGTCCCTTAAAAAAAGGAGATTTTAAGGTCTAAATGTTTTTACCTATACATATTTATTCCACTCAATGTGTGATTTATTTATTTTCTATTATAAGTTTTTTATCGTGATATATATATCGTTACCGCCACTCATCATAATGTATATCGTGATATGAATTTTTTGCCTTATCACACATTCCTATAATGAAGCGAGCATCGCACAACTCAGCTGTGTTGACTTGGAGCACAGTGCATTAAATGTGTGATGGACATCTGCCTCGTATCGTTATCATGTAGTTCCTTCATCCTAAACATACCCACAGTGTTGGTTTGACTCATTCATACATGTGTGAGAAATCCTTGAATCACCTGTGGTAATCATGTGGTGCTGCCTAAACGCCTGTTGGTAATAAGCACCGCCTATTTGTACAAAGCTCCTCCCTGGAGCTCAGTCTGCTGCTGAGCCCCCGCCCCACAGAGCACCCCTCTCCTGAAGCATTGTTGTGAAAATGTGCTGAAGTGGGAGTGTCCGAAACGGTAGTAGTTTTTTTAATAGACAGAGGCTGATTTCAAGGTGTTTAGACACAAACCCCATGAAGAATTAACTCAATTTAGCTGTTCTTTTAGTCAGTAAATACATTTTAAACTAAATATAATGTTGAAGCGCTCCATCATCAAATGTGCCTAAATAATAAATTATTGTTGTTGTCCTTACTGACTGGTCACACAGACCACATGTCATTTCATCACATTTTTTAGTTGGACTACAGCTTTTCATCTGTTTACTGTGTTCTGTTACTACCTTGCTTTATGGCACAGAGGTGCATCAGAGGTGGGCTGGCTTCAAACCCCCAAGGCAGCCAAAAGGCACTGAAGTCCCAGCCTCAGGTGTCTTGTTGAAAGAGCTTAATGATTTATTTGTTTTATGAGCGCACTAGCTGTGCTTTAAGCATTCACACTTTCAGCAGCGGTGTACAATTCACAAATTCAAAAGACAAAGTCAGTAGCTTTATTGCATCCTCTGTGTGATCACCTGAGCACCAGAGCCTACTTGTTTTTCTGTCAGCCTCTGCCCGTTTGTTTACCCAGCCGTGTGCTGTGGTGCGGTGGCCTCATGTGTTCGAGCAGCCCGGGCACAGAGCACGCTGTGCTCAGCAGGCTAATGAGAGCGTTCTTAATGAGCAGGTCCGCTTGGATTCATACATCATGGCCGTGCTGCCGAGCTGCAACTGGATTTACACACCTATGACAAATGGTCGTGCAGTTGAACTTGTTGGAGGCCTTGTTTTATTATTTTTTTCTAAGCCACACTAAAGAGCCCATGTTGAACTTAATTAATCTGTGTAATTAATTACCTGACATGAGACATTACTGAATGTGTAAGGCAGATCTGTGATAAACCATCTGTACCTGGGGTCGTTAATCAGCTTAAGGATTTACTGAATCTTTTTCTATCCACTCTTGCTCACTGTGGAGCTAAACAAAGCTCTGATTGCTAATGTTTTTTATAATAAAATGAGAACAGAGACAAACATTTCTATACTAAATACTACTATATATAGAGGGGCATTGTTTGTGTGCTCACGGGTCTATTTTTGAGGTGTTGTTTGACACTTTGCCTTTCTCTCTTCCAACACAGAGTACAGTCGCTTTGAGTCAAAGATCCACGACCTGAGGGAGCAGATGATGAACAGCAGCATGAGCTCAGGATCAGGCTCCCTGCGCACCAGTGAGAAGCGCTCCCTCTATGTCAGGTACGCTTGGCGTGCACAGATTGACATACACAGCTGCATTCGCTATTTCAAATTCTTAGATCGGCTGTTAAAATAAGCACTCTTGCATAACAAACCTCAGCCTGTTTGTGTGGGAGAAAGAGGCCTGAAAGCACGTGTTTTTAAAAGCAGCCACACATGGCATGCATCGTATGGTCAAACATGGTATTTTATGTGGAACTGTTTGCAAGGTAACATTTAATGTAGGCCATTGGTTCGATAACTTTCATCATCTAAAAGCTGACAGACATTACGTTGTGTTGTTTTGTCGCCTCGCATGACATTGCCTTTTTTCTGCTTAATGTAGATTGAAAAAAAGAGGCTTGTCGAAGTGAATTGTGTTATGACACTTTGGGCCACTTGCCAAACTGGATGGAGGTTCATTTAAAAATTAAAACAGGTGGCAACCCCGCTGCTCACACAAATACAGCAAGATATAAAGGATGCACAAGGTTCAAGGTGAAAGGATTACATGATGTAACCTCCATACACAAAGTGCTCCCATGTATTTCAGCTGAAACTCTAATACACTCCACCTCAGCTCAAAAGCTACATTTCTAGATTGGTTGAGCAGAATAGCAGCATTTTAAAAATATATAGGTGTTACCTTATTTGAAGACCGCTAGAGTCAGAGGACTACTGACTGGTCTGACTCATGCCGCTCTTGTAGACGGTCTCCTATGAGGCAAATAGAGCCATTCCTGCTCCTGTGCAGGTGACTAAGCCCACAGTTATGTAGGAAAAGCTGCAGCGTTTGCAGACCAAAACGGGAGCTGGCGTATCCTCCCTGCCCAGCCTCAGGAATGTGGAGGCGTTCGTCTTGTAAGGTGCACTTTACAACTGTCACGTGTGGTCTTGTTCCCTTTGTAACACAAGAATGTCAAGGTGCTACAACACAGCTAATACAGGGAATCTGATTATCTCTTGTTGGCCTGTGTTGACAGTAGGCTTGTTTCCCTGGTGATGACACAAACTGACAAGCTTCCTCTCAACTGCACCACAGTGGTTTCACCACTATTGTTTGTCTCGTCTGCTGCAGTTGCAGTTAGGAGTATCAGTTAAAATCTCACGAAACAATGCCTGTTAGCTACAGCCTGCTTGTCCACTGAATTGTGCTTTGTAGTCTGTATATGTTTGCTTGTGGGTCAAGGAAAGTTTAAAACCTGTAAAGCAGGTATCTGTGCCTTTTTATATCTGCTGGTTACTTGTTTAACAAGATAGTGACGCACTTAGACAATTGGTGCACGTCTGTGGTGGAAAACATGTGGAAACAAATAAAGGAAAGAACAGAAAATTATGAATGGGGCATTATTGTCTGCTGTTTAGAATTTAACCAATAATTTAAGGTTTCTTGGCATATTTTTATCGTTAAGTTGTACAGTTTTTTTTGCCAACTTTGGGTACTGTCACAATGACAAGTTTTGCTGGACAATATATTGTCTCGGAAATTATTGCACTAAATATTGTTTGGAGACTTTTTTAACTAATAAATGTTTACAAAGTTTGAGAAGTTTTATGAAATTTACGTAAGTTTAAAAAAAGTTATGAACTGACCTGGACCAGAGATTGGGGAAAAAAAACACACAACACCTACTGAAGCTATGAAATCTCTTCCCACCTCTTCTATCTAAGCCAACACAATTTATTCTCTTTGCGTCTTCCTCTGGCTTCATAAAATAACTACACTCATGCTGTTTACGGAAGTTTACAAAACTTATGTAGAGTTTACAAACTGCTCTCGGTCTGTCCGTAAAAAAAAATACAAACTCTGCTCTCGGTCTGTCCGTAAAAAAAAAAAAAAACATACAACAGCAGCAAATGAAGCTGTAACATCACTAATCACCCCTATACATGCTGGCACAATTTATTCTGTATGTCTTCCTCTGGCTTCATAAAATAATTGTGGTCACTCACACACTGCTTGCAATATTTTACAGAAGTTTACGAAATTTATGTAGAGTTAAAAAAACCTCTTACGAAGGCATCAGGAAAACTGAAGATGCTTCTCTAGCTAAATGCCTGTTCATGGGGCTCTCATGCTACAGAAGGTGTGCACCTAGAAAATACCTGACACCTGAGTTCACTCCTCATTGCTAAGGAGCACAAAGGACACAAAGAAAATTAGCAAGAAGGGATATGAAAATTATCAACCTCATTTTTATCATGCAGTGAATTGCTTTTTGCTTATTGCGACAGGCCTACTGGGTACAGGGCGTAGTGATTTCATCTTTGTGTCCGTGAAATTTTTGCACAGAAATTCAAGCCAAGAAATATTGAGTAACATAAGTCTTATATTTTGTAGAGCTCTGTTTGAGTACGACCGAACAAGAGACAGCTGCCTGCCCAGCCAAGGATTGAGTTTCACTTATGGGGACATCCTTCACGTCATAAATGCTTCTGATGATGAGTGGTGGCAGGCGAGGCTCGTCACGCCTCATGGAGAGAGCGAGCAGATCGGGGTCATTCCAAGCAAGAAAAGGTACCGCTCGCTCTCATCCCGAGTTGTTCAAAAGCAAGCAAAGTGGTGATTTCCAAAAAGAAATAATAAAAGGAATAATATTTTTTTGTTTTTGTTTTCCAGAGTGGAAAAGAAGGAGCGTGCCAGATTAAAAACTGTCAAGTTCCACGCCAGGACAGGCATGATTGAGTCTAACAGGGTAAGTGTAGAGGGCCAGCTGCTCCCTGCCCTGGTGCCCGAGCAGCGGCCCTCAGAGCTGCTGCAGGGCTCCTGGGGAGATGGCCTACTTCCTCCTGAGTGTGGGAAAGAGACCAGCACCTGCTCTTTGGAGCGAGCACAGACAGCACTCGTTTTACTGTATAAATTACAGCCAGGCTCTGTACAGATGAGCTCTGTGGAGCCTCCATCGCTGGTGCACTCGCTGAAACTAAGTGCACTTCAAAACTGTCATGTTTGTCAGAGGCTGCTCTGTCAAATTTTAATTCTCTCATTTATTTCAACATTGATGCTAAGTCTGTATTTGTTATTCAGGAGATTATATTTGTTAAAAAGGTACATGTTTAATGAACAGATGCTTGTTTCCTTCACATTGATGTACCATTCAGTTTCACCCATTACCTGCTTCTCATTTTCATTATTTGATGTTTGTTTACATTTCATTTTTCTTTTCTTTTTGTTTTGTTTTGTTTTGTTTTGCATGGTTGTTGAGTACCTTCATTGAAACCTAGTCTTGTTTTTGTTTTCACCTTCTCATTGCCTCCCCCATCCCTCCCCCCTCACCCACACGTCAACAAGCAGACAGTCAAAGTAAAGCGCAAAAAAAGCTTCAACCTCTCACGCAAGTTCCCGTTTTACAAGAGCAAGGAGAATATTGTGCAGGAGTTGGTGGAGCCTGAACGTGAGTACCAGCTGTGTGATCGATGGGGGGGTGCTGGGGTTTTTATTTTATTTTATTTTTTATTTTACTTTGGTTAGTCCTTTCTCCTTCATGCTTCATTTCTGTCTCTCATCTTTCATCTTCCCACTCACCTCCAGGGATGATTTGTGTGATGGCACCGCTCTCATTCCCTCTCTCCCCATCCCAGAGAGGCTCCCCACATGCAGGAGATGTGGGGTTCCTCTCTGGGGGGTGACTGTGCATCGTCTGTGGGCTCCAGGGGAGTGTCCAGCTGTGTGTGTGTGCTGCCAGCTGTGTTTGCACGTTTCTTTGGCTGCAATAACACAAAGGCCTCATCCTGATCAATTCGTCAGTCAGTCACTGACCTACAACAAGGAGAATCTTATTACTGGCTGAAGCTCTAACACTTAACGGGTCAAATCCCATTTTAATGGGATTGGGCTTGTGTAATTGAAAGGCAGTGGCTTACTATGAACAAAGTGGAGCTCAGGCTTAATGAATATGACAGCACCGTATGGCAGCGGGTGCACTCCTCTCCTCCTCTTCCCCAGCTCTCACTAACCTCTTCTTCTTCCTGTCTGCTTTCTTCTCTTGGTTTCTGCTCTCAACTGTCGGGACACCTAGGACTTCCCAGGGTTAAGCGATGACTTTTATGGATCAAAGAGTTTGAGTAAGTGTGTGGTTGTACTGTGTCAAGCAGCTGTCCCCAGAGAAAATGCTTTGTCACTGCAGGCCCAGCTGGGAATGCAAAAACCACACACATTTAGAGTGACACACTACGTGCGTTCTCACACACCTACCTCAGAGTCACAGTACATATAGAAAAAAATATGTGGTAGAGTTTCAACTTATACGGTCACACAGAGTTATGAGACTTTGTTGCAAAAGCAGACTGTCACTCAGTCTGGTTGGAAACACTTCTTACTCCGATTCCTCCGAGGCGTCCAGCTCCTGCCCCCCTCCTGTGAACACAATAACGCCTGGATGTTTTCTTTGTCTTTTCTCAGATACCAGACCTGCTGCCACAGGCACAGGTCTAGCAATAGGAAACATTTGGCCAGGGAATTCTGGGTCATTTGGGATATCGTCACAGGAAACACTTAATTTCCTATTGCTTGCACCTAAAACCACTTCCTCTATTATTGCCAAAACTCGGCTGCCTCACCAGACAAAACTTCTGCTTTCTTTATTCCCCTTTTTAGATGACCCTGTCCTTAATTTTTTTTAAATTTTATTTTTTTGTTTGCGTTTTGTTTGTTTTTAAATTTTAATTACTTCTCAGACAGGTGAAAATAGTTTTATTTTAAAGTGGCTTTTATTGATCTAAAGTTCACTTTTTTCCTTTACAGAATGCCTGACATCCAACACAAGTGACAGTGAAAGTAGTTCAAGTGAGTCACTGAAATGGATTTATTTATATAGATGAATAACTTATTTAAATTTAGTTGCAGGGTTCTTACATGGTCAGTAAGCATTTAGAAACATCTGAAATATCCTATTAGCATCTTCTAGATCCTAAAAAGCACAGAAAAATAGAAAATTAAAAACATGGTTGTTTCCGAACTTGATATAGTTTTTAAAGATAGAAATATTGTTTTAATAAAAGAATCAAACAGATTTTTTTTTCAGTTATATAAAAATTGTGTGCAAATTTATTTAAGCCAGACCTACTTCATTTTTTACATTGCTTCTAAAATCTGACTCTTTGAAAGGAATAAAAATGTTTGCAAAGTATAATCACAGATTTTGCTGACATTTTCAAATACCGTGTGAACTCACAAAGCTTAAAGAGGACATATCGTGCACAATCCACTCTTTAGCTATTAAATGTGTTTTGTTTGTGTACTTGGAGTCTGTAGGAGTGCAGAAAAGAACTAATAATTTGTCATACTTTGTGCAGCCAGTGAGCTACAAATTTTTCTCACAGTCTTATGACAATTTTTTTTACTGAACAAGCTTTCACAAAATGAACCTTACGTTATATTGAAAATCATTTAAAGACACAATTAGGATTATAAGTCATTTAAAAACAGGCAACAATTTTGTGTACAATCTGCAGTAAATATACAGCAAATATTTGTCCTCAGGTGTCGAAAAGTACCCAAAAACCAATTTCAAAAGTTTAAATTAAGATTTAGGACAATCTGAACTTTTAAAATGGGGGAAGTGTAAGAACCCTGTATTTGTGAAATAAAATACATTTTATAATTTTACGTCAAGTATTTCTATCTTGTTTCTCCGAAATTAAACACTTTGTGATGGTTTTTGTTTTGTTTCCTTACAGAGGGTCAGGAGGACATGATCCTTTCCTACGAGCCAGTCATTCGGCAAGAAAGTGAGCGGACTCACTTTGTTTACATTTATTGATTGATGTCACTGTTTCTGTTTCCTCACCTGCTGTTTTTGTCTCAAATCCAGTCCACTACACAAGGCCTGTGATCATTTTGGGCCCAATGAAGGACAGAGTAAACGATGACCTCATCTCTGAGTTCCCCCACAAGTTTGGCTCATGTGTACCCCGTGAGTTTCCCTCAGTACCCCGCAGCGCAACGCAGAGCACTAAGCACAAGAGCCGAGACAAAAATAAGCCTGTTTCATTTACCCTCTGCAGACACGACCCGTCCAAGGCGAGAGAACGAGATTGATGGCCAGGACTACCACTTTGTGGCTTCAAGAGAGCAAATGGAGAAAGACATTCAGGATAATAAATTCATCGAGGCGGGCCAGTTTAATGAGAACCTCTACGGGACGAGCATTTTGTCTGTCAGAACTGTGGCTGAGCGAGTGAGTATCGACTCTTTGTCTATGGGATCACTGCCAGAGCTACTTCAGCTCGCCTGCTGAGTCAAAAACATATTTGCTTTCTTACTGATTTTCTAAAAAATAATCATTTCAAGGCATTATCTGAACCACAGATATTGTCTTGAATATGTGATGCAGTAGTGGGAGACAAATGTCATTGATGACAGACTGACAAACACTGTGTCTGCCAGCAGGGGAAACACTGCATTCTGGACGTGTCCGGAAATGCCATAAAACGACTGCAGCAAGCACAACTTTATCCGATCGCCATCTTTATAAAACCAAAATCTGTTGAAGCCCTAATGTAAGTGAGAGTCTCGTGATGGTATCAGTACATCAGCAGGTCTGAATGTGTTTAACATCAAACACTGTTTTTCAGGGAAATGAACAAGAGGCAGACGTACGAACAGGCCAATAAAGTCTTTGACAAGGCAGTTAAGCTGGAGCAAGACTTCGGAGAGTACTTCACAGGTTGGTGTCTTTTGTTTTACTTTGATTATTTATTCAATTTTCATTTAGAGATTTAAAATGTTATTTTAATCCCATTCACATAAAACACTGCGTCTCTGCTCCTCATCAAGCAACACGTAAGGCTGGATGGACAAGTTTTCTGTTGTTGACATCTTTTAATTAATTTGTAAATAAGTTTCTGCACCATTCTAGTCATTAAAAACAACAACTTATCTGTCATTTCCATTACAACAAGACCATTTTATTTTTAAAAAGTCCAACATTTTCTCCACTCACTCAGTGGTTATGATTTGATCTGATACCTCGGGTGCATTTAGTTTATCAGACTGATGCAGACAAAATGCACACAGGCAAACATTTGAACCAACCATTTATTACAGTTTACACAATTTTTGTGATATTCCCGTTGCACAGGCTGTTATCGTGATGATATTAAATTTGCGATATATTGTGCAGCTTTTTTTTTCTATGACAGAAAACATTCAAAGCTATTTGTTAATTTTCTTTAATTGTAAGTTGCTACACTTAGTGTGATTAAAAACTTTCCAACAAGTGTTTTCTCTTAAGCCAAAGACGAGTAAATACTGACTTATCAAAGTCAGAAAAATATTTGAAACTGTTGACAACAATGTTTTTTAAAAATGCAAGGTTATCAGTTCCTCGGCTGATAAGATAAAAACTTCACCTCAAAACAAAAATGTGAAAAACTTATACACCACTGAGCTAACGCTGCTAATCTAGTGAAAACCCTAACCTGTAAACCACAAAACATGTCCCTAAAATACACAAGAATAGAAATATGTTATAAATGTGACACATAGTTAAATTTACAGTGTATGGTGCTTCTGATGCAGCTAAGAACTCTCTGCCTTTGTGTTTCCATCCAGCTATCGTACAGGGTGACTCGCTAGAGGAGATCTACAACAAAATCAAAGTGATCATCGAGGAGCAGTCCGGGCCCTACATTTGGATCCCCTCCCCAGAGAAGCTCTGAGCTCCCTGCCGTCCTCTCTGTGTCGATGCAGAGCTCCCCTCCTGCCTCCCAGACACCCCCCACCCACCCACGTGGCCCCCTCCTCACCTCCTTTTTACAGATATGTTTCATATCAAGTTTTAGTGTCATCATTATGTTACTCTCTAAATGAAAAGAAGTCTTATCACCATTACTGTGACTGTGCACACCCCTGCATGATTTCTCAACAAATCCATTCAAGACTGGAATTGCCATTCCAAAGGAATATATCAAATGAAAACAAAAGGGAAACAAAATAAATCCTTTTGTGAACTGGAACTGCCTGAAGATCAGAATGTTGTGCAGAAAGTCGAGAGAGAAGTTGTGATTCAAAAATAAGTCGCAGGGGAACAGAGACAAAAATCAGACCAAGTTGGGACACTTTGTAAATGTTCATCAAATCACATTTAAAAAGACAAAACAAGAGGTTGAAGAACAATTCCGGCTTTTGTTTTTAGTTTCTTTTTTAGTTTCGTTTTGAAGACTTGATCAAATTGAGCCCTGCTGATGGTACTGTTCAAGAAGTTGTCGCTCTTCTTTCCACTGACTGAGGAAACGAGTGGAAGAGCCCAACAAACTGGTGTCTTTATCACAAACCAGCTCGCTTGTTTGATTATCTGCGCCGCAGCTAAGACATCTCGGGAGGCAGATCAAGAAGAAGAGATGTGTTGTGAATCTTTCCATTTATATTATGAAATCACAAATCATAAAATCATTCTGAGATTTTACAACATATTGAAAACTACACATTTTACACTTAACTAGAATTGTCAATTTGGAGGGCTTGGGTTTCCTTTTTATTTGTGGGATTTTTTTTTCTTTTTTTCTTTTTTTTTTTGCTTGTGATTTTTAGCTGCTCTGTAAAGGATGGAGGTAGAGACGTGTAACCGGGCTCTCTGCAAAACACCAAACTGCCTTACATCTGATACAAATTCTGTTTTGTAACTACCTGTTGTCTGTGAGGGAGGCTGCAAATATTTGAGGACACAATACTTTTGTGTCCTCCCAGCTGTCAGGAGCTCTGACATTAAGTGCAATAGATTTTTTTTTCAAGAAATAGACCTAGGTGGGCTCCTTCCCCCCCCCCGTTTTTAAATTTTCCCCCCCGTGTAATTAAAGAATTTGGCTTTTTACAATTTGGACAGCCAGAGCCTCCTAATTCATGTTGAGCAGCAGACGACCCTATTACACTCTCTGCCTTCCTAGAGGATTCTCTTCTGATTCGTCACATGGTACTGTCCTGTCTGCCGCCACTGTGGTGGACTTAAAACGGGTAGAACAAGACAACAAATTGTATTGGATGTTTTAACAATTAAAGAGTCAGTAAACCCTGTTTTGAATTGTCCCCCTGCCAAAAACACTAAAGTTGGGTTTGAGTAAACTTTCACTCTTTGTGTATCTATAAACGCATGAATTCTTTGACTCGTTGGCGGATGCTGAACCATTGTGTCGGAACTTTAACAATCAGATTCAGTTCCCTGTTTGGGGCGATGACAGAGTTCAGAGTTGTTTAAAAACACGTATTTGAGGAAGGCGCTGTCGCTTTAAGTGTTTTCAGCCAAATAGAGAAATCCAGGGTCAAGTCTTCTTTTCTGTGGGGCTGAAAGCTCGACTTGAGTGCGTCAGCTTGGAAACCTCCGAGTTTAAAACGACCTGCTGCACAGTTCCACGCAGATCCTGGTACTGTATGTGAACGTGTTTCTGTTGGAGGGTACATCTGGAGGAGTTCTGTGGCCTCTTGCTTTCCTAATCAGAGTGCAAACTAAAGTTTTTCCCTTCATCTGTAGAGAGCCAGACCCAACAAAAAGTGTTAATCCAGATCTCTGGGTCATTTCTCTCTCTCTCTTAAGCCCACAGATCACCTCTACCTGCAGGCGTCTTCTGATCAGATGTGCCCCTCCCCTCTCTGCCAGGCATCACTGCTAAACCAGCTGTCATTACCTGTGTCAAAAACCAGAGTTCAGGGAATAACCGAAGGGAACAGAGCCATTTATAAACTGCTTGCAGACTGTTTCAAAACGGTGTGGTAGCTGAACAATGTAAATAAGCCCCCCCGCCCCCTCACCTGTGCTCTCATGCATGTGACTCAAACTGGGACTAACATGTTTTATAGATCACAAAATGTCAGGTAAGTAAAGTTTGAGCTACTCTAAGATATAATTTCCATACTAACGTGCTGTAATGTCGATATTTCTCTTCAAATGCCTATTGGAACACTTAACTAGTGAGACGGGAATCCAGTTCCCTGGGGTAGGGCCTGTCTACATGTGACTTCTTGTGGAACGTGTCTGGGTGTATAGATTTAAATATATATATATATATTGTAAGATAAAAGTGATGCAGGCAGAAACCTACACGACATCACAGACACCAGGAGCATTGATTGAATCCATCATTAGGAGCTTAGAATCGGTCCTCTCTGGTGTTTAGTTGAGATCCAGCTGACTGTTAATGTGTGTGGTATTCATACCTCAGTCAGCCATGTCAAAGCCCAAAGAACTTGATTTCATTTAACTCTTTCCATTGAAGAGGTAATAAGATGGAACCTGAATGCCTCTGTGTTTGTATACCTGATGAGGGTCTTTGTTCTGATGAGAGAAACGATGACACATATGCTTTTTATTTATTTTCTTTTTGTTTAGTTTTTTTGGGTGGGGAGGGTGTTCAAGGGTTCTTGTTTGTACTTTTGGGTGATGATCTGTTTCTGTTCTAGCACATCTGTGCAGTAAGTGCTTGCAAACATGAACCCTTTGATTGTACAGTAGTTTCCTTCCTGTCACTGCAGGTGGTACAGCCTATCAGGACACTCGGCCTCATGGTCTTCCCTGTCCTAGTCCTGAGGGAACACAGTCCTGCAGCTTTTCTTTTGGGGTTTTATTTTGGGACATGACAAGAGTTTATTTGTTTGAAAATAAAATATGTGACTCAGTTATGATGGTGACGTGCTCGTTTGTCTGGTTTGAGCAGCTTTTGGTTCAGGCTTAGAAATACTGCAGTTATCTTTTAAAGACTTAAGAAGTTTATTTGTTAAACAAACAGTGGATAAACAGCTAACCATCTTGTCAAAATGAACAAAAAAAACATGCAATTTGTCTAAAAGTCCAGTGTAAACTTAACATTGCGAACAATTACCTTCAAGAAGCTGATAAACTTGTTTAAGAACACCCTCAGAACAGACAAGTTGGGAAACGATGACCTGTTCTAGTTGTCCATGAGGTTTCTTTTTGCTTTGTCCAACTTGTCCAGGATTTCACTGTACAGACCAGACATCTGTGGACACAAACAGCTGTGTTACTTACAGAACCATTTATTTTTAAAAATCAGCTTTGCCATCGTGTAAAGAGAGATGAACACACAGCTCTGGGATTTTTTTTTTAAGGTGCATTGTACTTGCTGGCAACGTTGGCCTGGAATGATTAATGTCCTTAATTCTGCTCAGACGTGTGCGTTTATTGGGTCAAAGATTTGTGTCTACAGGCTGCCTGATTCCCTGCTTCCCTACCTGCTTCTCGTAGCTCTTCTGCAGAGCTCCCAAGTGGCGGATGAAACTCATGGAAAGACCGCACCACTTCTCAGCTTCGAGGTACTGGGCCAAGCTGTACAGCAGTATCCCCGTGTTCCAAGCTTGAGTCAGCAGCCACAGGGTCTCCATCTCTGGGAAGTCATCTGGCTACAGAGAAGAGCAGGAAGATGTTCAAAAGGCCATTTAACACAGGCCACCTGGCTGACTCTCTTAGTGGGGGTGAAGCAGAGAGTAAACTTTTCATCAAATCCTGTGCCGTTTCTGTTAACCATTACTAACGCTGCAAAGGGGAGGGGAGAAAAAAAAACATGAATCAAATCATTTTATTTATTTCATTCAGATTCCCCAACACTTTAATCTTGTCCCTTTGCTTTGATCCAAAAAATTAAACAGCTTTCAAGTCAGAACTCCCTCTGAAAGAGGAAATATGCGCGGACTGAAAAGCAGCGTGATGTCTCAATAATTCCGTGTCTCTTTCAGAGCTGCAGCTCACCGGCAGTGTGATGATTTGTGCAGCACATTAACATTCAAAACTGGCAGGAAGGGGCGGTGAAAGGAAGCATCTGCTAATTGAACTGCAGCTGAAAGCCCATTGATAAAAAAAAAAAAAAAACGAAAGAGAGAGATGCTTCTAGAACAGCGGGCAGCCATGGAGTGGAAGAGAGGGGGTTAATTATATAGCAAGGAGCATTTCTGTTGGAGGGAACAGGAGGTGGGAGTCGAGGGATGTCGCTGTGTGATTGGTGCTGACTCACTGCAGCTGAGATGATGGACAGGGCCTCCTCAAAGTAATCCCACACCTCTTGCAGCACATGGGCCTCCACCTCTGACACGCCGCTTGGAAGGGACAGCTTGATCAGACTGTGAACACACTTGCTAAGGTGGAGATGCATAAAACAAGCCACACAGTCAGAAACACCTTCATCCCAATATCAGCTTAATGTGGAAAAACAAAAGATTTCATACCTGCAGTTGGTCAGGTCCACCTGTGGTTGTTTCTTGTGCAGAGAGAGAGCAACTCTCAGGGCCTTCTTACACAGCTGAGGGAAGTAGGCAGGAGGCTCCATGGCTAAGGCTTAAAAAGTATTGAGAGTACACAGTAAATACTGGCATTTTCTATAAATACTGATGTATGTGTTCCTAACAGGGATGAGAACAACCTGCCATGGTCTCCAACATTTTAGTTTCCACATTTTCAAGCTCCAGAACGGAGTCAAGTATAGTCTCAACCTTTGGATCGTTCAGCTTGGCACGAGTTTCGAATTCATAAAGCAGCAGCAGCGACTCTGTGGGGTCCTGTGCGACGTTTCCTTTGAATACATGAAAAGAAAATAAACATAAAAAGGAACAAAACAAAAACATCACATGTTCATTATCTCTTAGCTCGAATACCGTTTGTGTTTATTGTACCTGATGACTTCAGGGTTTTCCAGACCTCCCAACAGGTCAGGATGTACTCCAAAGCCAGAGTGAGCTCCTCAGCCTGTAAAAGCAAAAACACTCAGCGAGGATCCCGGGATCATTGTTGCCATCTAGTGTTCAGCTCCTCTTCAAAGGCAGAGGGATTAAAACCAAACGCCTACGCCTGCACCAGTAATGTGGTTAGTCACCTCTCCTCTCCATTGGACTTGGTAAATTTCCATCCATTTTGATGGAGAGCGTGCTAAATGTAGCGGATGAGGAGTGGGTGGCACACCTGGGCGTACTGAGGCGACTTCCTGAAGAGCTCCAAAGAGGTGGAAACAGCCATCAGCAGGCACGTCCTCTGACCCATGAGCAGTGTGCGGTCAGGAGGGCACAGCAGGGAAAACTGCATGAGTCAGCAGAAAAATAAATAAATACTTGGTCTTGATTCTGACTTTGTCAAACAATTTAACAGGAAGGCAGAGCTTTAAGATCTGAACGTCTGTAGTTTAGATACAAAACATATTCTACATTTATTGACTCACGTTAAAAAAAAAATCAAGTTTATCTTGAAAAATTCACTTAAAATCCAAATGCAAAAGCAGACAGAGGTAAATTTAACAGTTTATTTTCAAAGCAGACGTTTAATTCTGTTCTTGTACAGCAGACGAGCGACTGAGCCAGCAGAAACACTTACCTGATAGGACAGCACAAAGAAATCCCTCATTTTGTCGGGGCAGCTCTCACACTGCAGAGCCGAGTTCCAGGCTGCAGCAGACACACAAAATGAGGCCGCTGCAAGATTTTAGGTGATATCTACCATGTCAGATCGAAGTGGCAAGGAAAGAAAGCGTGCGCACCGATTTTTCTGAACCAGTTCGTCTCCTCAGTGAACTGCTCAGCAGTCGTTTTCGGCTGGTGTGAAACGGTCTGCAACGCTGCGGTGAAGACAACACTTCTCAGATGCACAACAGAAACTATACAATGGATATTTTGTACCAAAATGCACTGACTGCATACACACCCAGTTTTAGATATGGCAGCAGGACGTCCAGATTCACATCCCTGCATTGATTTGAGTGTTAAATTGAACCTTAATCAGTGAATAAAACTTCATATCTTTGGGCGTTACACCTCACCTCATCTCCTCGGTTGATTTGTCTGCAGCGATTTTGAGCCGAACCAAACACCTGTGAAAAATATGGAAGAGGAGCCTGGCGTTGACCTCCTTTCGCTCACCTACTAACATTATTATACATAGACCTACTTTCTCTGAGGAAGGAGAAAATAGGTCAGTGGATCAAAGAGGTGAATGAAAAACTAACAGAATTACTGCAGGTTTTTTCAGGACACAGGAAACATGACGTGGTTTTATAAAAATATCAACTATACTGACATGAAAACTAACATTTGATGTGATTGAGTTGGAAAGATTAGTTTGAATCAACAACAGTATTTTAATAGTTTGATCAAATTTATGAAAGCTTAAATATACTGTATTTAACAAAAAAATACAACTTTACAGGTGAATAAATCACTGCTGGAAACAACTGTTTATTCACCATGTTCATCATATCAGGTGTCTACAGCTTTCTGATATGTTCATTTTCTGCATCCTGATCTTTATTCATTCAAGTCAAATATAAATCTGAGATCAGCTGATTCATATTGTTTTTAAATGGTAAATGGTACTTATATATACTGCAGCTCCTTTCTATTCAACCAGGATAGTCGAAGCGTTTTTAGTTTTGCAATATTTTGGACACAGTTACAGAAAAAACTAATTTCTTTCCTCAGATATTTCCAGATTGTTTGAAAGAAGTTTTACATTCCTGTTCTTTATATTGAGAACTGAAACTTGTTTATTGGATAGTTTTAGTTTTTCCAGGTTTTAAAGCTGAAAGTTGTGGCAATGGTTGTAATGGTGGATCCTAATCTGTTCCTGTGAATAAAGTTGTTCGTCTTTCAAATGCTTCCTTTTTCAGGATTTGCCTTTTGTTTTACATCGGACGCCCTTTCTGGCGCAGCCTGGCCTCAGACCTGCAGCCTCAGGAAGACCGTGGTGCTGACCGCCGAGCTACGGCACATTTAACTCAACAAATCAAACGGACGACTGACCTCAGACCAGTCAGAACCTGAGCTGGATCGTCTGAGTTTTTACACAAAACATCCAGAGCTTTCATGGCGGTTTCCTCCTGTCCGTTCTGTCACAGAAAAAAAAAGGTGCTATAATCATTAGAATAAAACCATAAGACAGAGAAAATGTGGTAAATATTCTTTCAGGCTTGGTTTTTATGACTGAAACGAGTGGTGAGGGCTGCGATTTACTCTACCTCCAAAGCCATCTGAGCAGCCAGGCTGAGGAGATAGGAGACCGAAATCTCGGAAACCAGCAGCCGGTCCTTGCTGGGTACAGAACTCTTACACAGAAGTCCCATGGCATTCACTGCCTCTGCAGCTGGTGCACACAAGCAGTCCCATAAAAGTGATTAAACTGCAACAATGAAAAAGTAATTCTTTGATGAGCATGCACCACACGGCTAATGTTCAGTTAATACCTTTCTCTGAATTGCTCTCTAGAACAGCAATCTTGTAAACACTGAACTGAGTGAAGATGCTTCCAGGATCACATCTTTCTGACTCTTTAACGGCTTCTTTAGCCTGAGAACACAATTTTTAATACAGGTGCAAACATTAGTCTCATGCTGCTGCACTTTCTGCGGTTAACTACAGCGACTCGGTCTGGTTCACCTTTTCCAGCTGCTGAAGCTGCAGAAAGCAAGACGCTCTGTTCCTCTGCAGTCTGGCCAAGTTAGGCTCCATTTGACCCGACTTGAAGAAACTCAAGGAGTAGTTATACCACTGAAGAGCATCAGAGTGCTGACCAGCCTGACAAGAAGCAAAAATGAGTCATTTATCACTGTTTGGAAGCAACAAAGAGAGCAAAACTAACACAAGTTTGATAAAAAAAAAAAAAAAACAGACTACAAAAAGTAAAACGTGTTTTTCAAATGTAGATTTTTTTCATCCTGTATATTAAATTTATTTAAGTATTTTCTTCTAATATGCTGTGATACTTTCATTAGAGAGCTTTTGGTACAGATCTGTCTATGTCAAACAAACCTATAAAAAGACATAGTTTGTGTTTTGCAGTGACCTCAGATGTAAAAACAAAGCACTCAGAAAAGAGGATGTTAGGTCTCTTGTTGCACTGATAAAACAAAGCTAATCTCAGAGCTGAAACCTGTTTAGTATAAACAAAAGAAAACACATTTTGCAAACCTCAAAATGTTTGGATCCTTGATCCCACAGCATGACGTGCAAACTGGTGAGTGCCTGGGGCGCCAGCTGTTTACCAGTATGGTGGCCTGTGGGAGTGAATAAAAATGTCCTACTATTACAAAGCATAACCTGCTTCAGGGTAAAAATTTTATTTTTATTTATTTATTTTTTTACTAAAAAATGAAATGTTATTGAATTTTCTGTAAAAGTATGATACCAGTGATGATGTCCTCTATCTTCTGTTTGGCCAGCAGCTCCTTGCCTTTCTGCAGCAGCAGCTCAATGTGCAACACCAGAGCATTTCCCAGGTCAGGGGACGAGTCGAAGTGCTGACATACACGTTTCAAAAACTCAAAGGACAGCTGTTCTCTAAAACAATCAAAACAGATTCAAAGCAGATGCCTAAAGTTTCCAACTAAAGAGAAGTTACAGTGTACTGTCTGCAGATACGACTGTGTGAGTATGCTGAGGATTACTATAACACAGGATCAAAGGTTTTCACCTGTCTTCAGCCATGAGGAGTTTCACAATGCTCAGACAGACATCAAGAGGAACCTGGGATTCCAGCATCTCGTTAACTCCTGGAAACACATGTTTGTGATAAATCAACTAAGTCGCCCACGGAGCCAAATGAAACACTTCCCGACTTCACAGAACAAGCTCGTCGGATCCTGAGACACTGAGAGAAAACCTGACCTGAGTCAGTAAAAAGCTCAGGAGGAGTTACATCACTGCAGAGACCCGCCGTACTTTCAGAAGATCAAAGTAGCAACGTCAACTCCCGTCTCCAAATTCTTCACAAATGACGCCCCGCTGTGGTCAGAGTTAATCAGCTTCTGCATTAATAATTCATTGAGGTCTGGTATTAACTGACCTGCTCTGATATGATCATCTGGGGCCCCGCATCTCAGAAGGATTCTAATCTTTAAATACAGTCCAGATGTACTTGCACACTCCTGCCAAAGTGCACAGCACCAGTCAGGTACACAGAGCATGATCATGATTCCCAACACAGATCTCAGTAACAAAGTGAAAGTTGTTTCTCTTATCCCACCTTGTTGGCGAAGTTGACAGCATCCAGACTCTTCTCCTGAAATTTCTGGCAGTCCCACTCTAAATAAACGGTGGCAAGGAGCCGCAAAGCTTTGGCCTGTCGACAAAAACGACGAAAAATATAATTACTTTAAAAGTACGACTGTTGAAAATGCTTCTGCAGCATACAGTTGTACCAGAACGTCTTTTCCAGGGCCGTATTTCACATTCATTTTCCCAATGTCATAGCTTTGGCTGAAACAGAAGAGATACCTTTTTAACTTCTTATTTACTTGTTTTCGTTGAACAATAAATATATTTACCTCAACCAGAAAGCGCTGTCCTCCATCTTCCTCAGATTGTAAGTTTCTAATCCAAAGTTGTAGCAAATGAGGGAGAGGTACGCCGTCTGTATTCAGAGAGTATGTTCGCAGTTAACATCCCCCTCACTTCCAACAACAATATGTGCTGTGAATGTGATAAATCAATATAAGTGTTGTTACAGTGCTAACAGAGGGATTAGTTTACATCTTTTGGTAGCCGCTGCAACATGTCTTTACAGCGCTGTATGTAGGCCACAGCTTCTTGGTTCTTCCCCTGAGCCAAGGCCTGTGAAGAAAATCCGAGTTGAACTCCCGACTAAACGTCAGCAAACAATGTGCCGTTCCCCATCAGCAACTACAGACTCTCCCCTCTCATTGTTTCTCGGTTCACATTTTAGCTGTCTCACACTTCACACTGCAAGTCTGTCAGAACAGCACTTCCTAAGCTGCCAAATATCACAAGAACAAACATTCACATTGAAGGTGTCGAACATCGCATCACATGCTCACCGACTCTGCCTGGCATGACAGAATTCGCAGTAGGTCCTTCTCCACATCCGCCTTGGAAGAGGAGCTGTCAGCTGCATCGCCTCTGGTCATCAGCTGGCTGTAGAGGGTTTCCAGGCTCTAGGGGTACAGCGTGTAGACTCATTTGTAAAAGCACCATATTTCTGTTTGCTCTAAACTCGCACAGATCTAAGCTTTCTCTCTCTCAGACTGTGAGCTCATTTTTTATTCACCTTGACAGCGAGTCTCAAGAAATTATCTGCCATCTGGGGATTTTTGCACTCCAGCCAGGTTCTCCCTGTTTTGCTGGCCATCTGTAAAGATTAGACACTGACAAATGGGCCTTGTCCTGAAATGCTGAGCACTCAGCCAGGAAGCCTGGAGTACTGCTTACCAGGATCTGCTTGCGGATGGCGCCCTCTGTTGGATTCTCCGGCTCACAGCAGTACAGCAGGCTGCACGCAACGTGACGGACTGCATGGTTTAAAAAAAACCATTGAAGCATGATACAAATGAAACTTGGACAACCCCTGCTCACAAATCTCACGCTGTGCCAAAAGTTTTAAACATTATTACATAAATAATAATGAAACAAGTATAAATTACAATAAGGATACCTTTGGCTTGTTGGATTTTACTTAAAGAATCACCCAGATTTTTAGTGACTGCCCAGTTCCACAGCTGGACGGCACATTCAGCAAGCTGTGAAAATAAATGAATCTTACAAATAATAATATCTATTATTACTATTATGTTTAGTAAAGAGTTATCAGCTGAGAGAAAATGTAAAACGTCACAAATCAGCTGCCATATAACTGATGGCAGGTTGGATTAATACATATTCAGTATAGCAGGTTGTTTAAGGGAAAAAAATCAATCAACTTTGATTGTATGTACTATTTACTACAGTACACTTGCACTTTCCTGACCAAAACTGTGTTGTGTAGACCAGTGTTTCCCAAAGTTGGGGTCGGGACCCAAAGTGGGGTCCCGAAACATCAAGGTGGGGTCCTGAAAAAATTTTCTCAATTAATGACATTTTTACCTTAGTTGTTACAAAGTAGTGACGTTAGTGTATTTAAAATGGATAAATGTAGTATAAAAATATTTTTACTATGCCCATGTTTAGTTGACCTGATAGAAATGTTTATCATCCAAAAATAGTTGGGGGCACAGGTCTCTGATACTGTTATTATGTGGGTCAAAAGCTGAAAAGTTTGAGAACCACTGCACTTTGGTTCCCAAAGTTGGGCTTGGGACCCAATTATGGGTCATGAAGCACCTTGGATAATCTTCAGAAATCAATTTAAAGGGTAATAAAATAATTGCTGYTGTAATATTTTCCCTGTAATTATTACAAAAACACAAAACAAGCATAAATAAGTATTTATATTTGTGTACAAGCTGTTTAGATTGTCAAAAAGCCTGTGATTTTAGGGTTATTAACAAAGTTCGTGTACTCAGTACAGTAATATTTGGGGTCAGAAGTTTTTGCCATGAATATTTTGTGGGTCAGAAGATAAAAAGTTTGGGAACCACTGGTGTAGACCATCTCATACACTACCTGCAAATTTGGTATTTTGGCAAACTCTAAAGCAGAGACTTCAGAAAAAAGTTTCTCTATGACTTCGCCATAATCTGTCCACTGTTTCTGCAGCAAGTCCTCTGTGAGACCTGTGAAAAAGTAAAAGCGAAATGAGATGAAAAGATACATCAACCAGACATCAAGAGCAGACATGTCTCATCATGTCACAAAGCAAAATCCAACTTTCAGTTCAAAACAGAAGAGGAAAGAGGCTCAAATTATGTTGCCTAGCCAAAAGAAAAGTCATACATGTTTTGTTGGACCACTCGTGCAACAAGAGTTTGCTATGGCGTTGTTGCAATTATCTTGTGAAAAGTTATATAATTTAATATAAGAGTTGTCAAAATTAACATAACATTTGTCCAGCACTGAACTATGCATCCAATGAAGGCCCAGGAGTACGGTAAGTATTATTTATAAACTTATAATTTAGAAGAGAACTGAGCTCCTTGCTTAATTTATTTAAGATGTAACATTTTCTGATCCTCATTAAAGTTGACATTTGGCTTGTTGAAAACATATTAGTACTGCAATTTGAACTGGGAAATATATCTATATATTTATGTAAATCCTGACAGTTGACCTAGGTTTTTGGACACACACTGTTGGTGAACTTGATCCCGAACTAATTAAACTACCCCACAGTTTTGTACAACAGGCATGAAGGATCATATGAGAAGCTACAGATTGCATCACTGGAGTTTAAATAACATGTTTGCAAGTTTAAACATATTAATCACTATAGGAGGACCTTTGCTTAGTTACATTAAGCTGTAGAATTTTTTCTGGCTAGGCTTTGCACATTTTAACATATGGATTACTTTTAGTGAAACTTGCATGGGTAACAATATTTATGGCTCAGCACATTCAAAACTGGCTCCACACCAATCATTGTGTCCCTGCTTGCATATTCCTACAGACACGTACAGGTCAGATAATATTAGTATAATATTTTGATTAAGCACGCAAAGAGATGCGAATTTTCAAGACGTAACAAAAAACTAATTATTCAAATCCTGGCAAACAAAATATCAGCTTTATTGAATAAAACATTTCAGCTTTCAAATTGCTCTCCTGATACCAAGCATTACTGTACGTGTAGTAATTCACAGTCATTTTTGGCTTCATAATGTTTGCACACATTACATTTCATCTGGGGAAATACGGAATGTAATGAAAAACAGATGTGTACACACTGAAACCTCATTTCTAGAGATGCATAAATAAAACTGTTGGACACATAGAGCAACCGTGGCTCATATCAGACTGAAATAAAAACATTTCATTATTGCCAAAGTTAACACTATTTGACAGCTATGATCAGAAGAGCTTCTACAATGTCAGCTAAAGGAAGAATAAAATGAAGGTTGTCAGTATATTTCAGCCTTTTGACTGCTGATTGCAGAGTTGTTTGGTTTGTTCTCACTCTGCTTAAAAATACAAAGTATTCTGCTTAAAAATTATCTACAAAGATTAAGAACAGGTGGGAGTTTGCTTCAGTCAGACATCTGTCAATTTATTAACTTAATTGCATTTAATTTTTGCCATATTAAAACTAGAAAGCTAATATTCCTTGACAGAGTTTTAAACGATGTGTTATGAATAAATTACAGCTACCACTCAGCTTAAAAACTGAAAAACCAATTGAGAGCAGTTTTATGTTGACTAAGGTTGATTAGATTATTAGATT